GCCAGACTGCAAGAACGTACCTTGAAACATTTAAAACCTCTTTAATAGCATGGATAACAGTAAAAGCACTGAACATCACGTGCCGAAGGGCTACAGCTTTCACCTAACGGGTACCACCACGGGGTCCTGCCGGTGCTCCTTCACCCCACTGCAGCGGCCACCGGCTGCAGGGGGATGTGCAGAACGCAGAGATGCCCCACGGGCACACCTGGCTCGGGACCAAACCCGCCACGACTTCATCCACACGGCAGGGAGCACAACGCAGGAGGCAAAAATACTAATCCTTTCTCTGCAAAAATATCTAGATGGTACCTGCCTCACAAAAAATGCAGTATCCAGCAGACATAAAACAAGCTATCATTCCTAGGTGGGAAAGTAAAACATCACGATTTTCTTTAGATATACAAAATGGTCAGTACATAAATTCATGTTTCACAATATGCGTGAGAATAATAGCGGCTTCCTTTTCTTACAGAAAACAACACCTTCTAGTAGCTGGAGCTCGCAGCTGTTAAATTATGTGCATTACCATTCGCCAAACTCCAATACCTCATTCCTTTATCTTTGTGACATTGCTGATACATTGAGAAAACAATTATATCATTACCGATAACTGTGGAAGGCAAACCTGCCATAAGACAGGCTTTCAAAATGAATACAGCTGCATAGCCTGCAAAAAGCTTATTAGCTTCTCAGTTTACACCACTTAACTAAGCAATTTGCTCTCAGTATTTTTATTACTCTTCATATTAAGTGTAAAGATTACATAGGAAATACTTCAAGTACTACCATAACACTTCCTAGCAGCAGCTTCTGATTACGGCTGTAGGGCACGGACAGTGCCATCCTGCAGCGATGCCATCGCCACGCACGCTTCTCTGCACAACCTCTGGAGTTCACACATGGCTGGGGATGTTGTTGGACTAGCACTGACTGCATCAATCAGAAATCAGATTTTAAAGAGGGATGGGAAGACTTAGAAAGATGCTTGGGGGTCTTGGTGCTCCTCCCTGCACCTCTCCCACCCGAACGGGAGCTCAGGAGGTTTCTGAAGAGGCGGCAGCCAACGCTCAGCACGCTGCCAGAGGAAGAGCTGGATCCACCTGAAGATCTCCTGGGCAAACGGGCTTGAGTGGGCATATGTTGTCCAGGGGGAGGAAAATCTTCTGTCGTCTGTGCTACTCACAGACCATACGGCATCAGGCTGGGAATGCTCCTGTTCTGCCAGGCACGCACCCCTAGCCCGCTGCCAGGTATGCTCCTTCGTTATGTCTGAAATGTTGTATGTGACAAAATATGTTTGTATAAAATATAGAAATATTTTAAAGATGCAGAAACAAATGAAGGGCCGCCGCTGCCCTGCACAGAACACCTCCCTCACCATCACGCCTGCCCTGAAAAACCCGCTTCGAACAGTGCCTCCGGTCTGGGAGCACAGCTCGACTGCTCCCCACGGCATCCCGGCAGGAGCGCGGCGATATACCGGGGCTCCGCCCGCGGCGGTCGCACTTCCCAGCGCTGCCGAGCCGCGCTCCAGTTGAGCATCGCGCATCTCTGGCAGGAGGAGAAGGCAGCTTACTGCAACGGATTGCTAAAACATCAAAACACGGAGCCGATTTGAGTGGTTCAACATGTTTCAATACAGAACAATATTCACTGCTAATTAATCAGTCTGGCAAATGAACCCAAACAGTAAGGATCCCTTCCAGCACGCTCTTGCTGAAGCTCTGTGTTACTGGCAAAACAGAAGAAAGCTTCCTGCGTGCTGTATAGCTGCACAAGAAGTAGTCCTCTGTAGGGCAAAGACCAAGGTAAGAGGGGCTCTGCTGTTAACCGAACAGACATTACCTTCGATCTAAGAAAGAAAGAAACAACTGACAGCAAGCCATGAAGAATATCCTAATTCTGAATTTAAGAATATATGTTAGGGGTTTAATCATCAGTAGCAATTTACTTCTTAACCTTTTCTATGAAACAACCGCTATTTTAAGTTACTACTGTAGCACCAAAATAGAGAGATTCAGCTTTCCTGCAATGTATTTTCTGTTCTTTTCCAAGTATAAAGCTCAGCTCTCCTGTTCACAGCTGTGACACACCTGAGTTATGCAAATTAATGGAATTTACTTCACAACTATCACTGTGCGTAACCGAGCCTGAACGAGATGATGGATCAATTGCTCTTCTCTACAGATAGCTGTCCACACAGACCACGCCAAATTCTTAAAGTTAGCAGCCAGTAGGAGAATTATACATGAACTGGGCTGGCAATTCCTTTGAAAATAAACCACGTATGTTGGGAGCGGCTGGCCCCTTCTTTCCAGAAGTCGACAACCAGTTATGCAATAATCTGTTACCATCTTCTATAATTACACACGGTCTTCTCTTTCTTTAAAAGTAATTTAGAGGATGAAAGACACTTTGCCATCAAGGTTCAGATCAAGCAAGAGATTTGCAGCTGAAGAGAATGAAACCCTTACTTTAGAGAATGGCTTATGCATCTCTGGGAAGTGCATTTAAAAAAAGAAAAGTTAAGTGCTTAATTATTTATGTCCTACTGACCTGGTATCAGCTGAGGGGCCAACACCACTGTGGGAAGAGGCCTGGAGGCGGCAGCTGGCCTGGCTATAGCCATAGCTACTTGATTGGTCATTAACAGAGGTTTCTCATTTCCCTGGAAGAGTCTTGACTCCTCAGGATGCATCCATGCTGAATCCAGAGCAAACGCATTATTCAAGTATATCTGTCCGACATAAATAAAACAAAGAATGTCAAGGTTTGAGACGCAAAACTCAGCAATAAAAGCGAGAATAAAGTATCTTTAACTCAATATTGCAATACAGATAGTATCTCAGGTCAGGGACAACCTTGCAAAAATAGATTGATTTCTGCTCCATAAACATTGCAGGCCGAGTTTCGCTGACCATCCAAAACTTAACTGGCCTTTAACACGACTAATCAGCTGATGCAGCACCACAAAAAGAAAAGAATAGCGGAAGGCAACTGTGCCCCAGACACAGTTAATCTGCAGCAAGCCCATCTGCAACGCAGAGGCTTCAGCCGCCTTCTACGTAGGAGAGATGGGGGCGAGGGAGGGGAACAGGATCAAGTCACAACAATGATGATAAAGTCACAAGTACAGGTGCAGGGAACCGGGGGCGGGACGAGGGCGCAGGACCGCGAGCGACACCGCGGCGCTGGGACGTAGCGGCGCTCGCGGTGACGCCACCGCTGTACCGCGGCAGCCCTTTGGGGGAGAAACAGTGGAAGCACCAAGAAGAAAGGGAAAATGGAAAACTCTCATAATCACATCCTATAGTGAAACTAGAACATTCTCCTGTTCAACACTCAATGGAATAAAGACCAATATTAAAGATATTTTAGTCTTCTATAACTTCAGAAAAGTGAAGACGTACAACCGCTGACGTAGCCTCCTCCACTACCCATCCCTTACAACTTCCCTCCCCCGCGGGGCGTTGCCTGACACACTGCTGACCTTCCGCACGCCTTCGCAACTCACAAAACCCGTAACGTTGTTCAGCTCATATACTTTATATATTTTACCCTTAAAAATACTTCAACATACCAAGCTCAGACTTACTTTGCAGTTCGGTAGCCTTTTATCAATCCAGTTTTTCCCAGCATGAGGCGGAACCGTAGATGCGTACACAGGTGGAAAAACAGGAACAAATTCCACGCTCGAAGAAGGTGAAAATCCTATGACTGGAGAATGAGCTCCAAAGATCCACTTGGGGGGGGGAAACAGGAAGAAAAGTTAACAAAAGGGATTTTACCCTGAGCAAACTGATGCTTTTCCTGATTTCCTAATTATATAAAAGATGAGTACAGAAAATTTCTCTTCGGTCCACCAGCCATGTGTGGTTGTTCAGGCATTACATGGCGAGTGACACATGGCACTGGCATTATAAACTGCTTTAGAAAGCCATAAATCAGTAGCCTGGCAGTAAAGCAGTACCTGGCTAACAGCTGCCACTCGCCAGGGAAGCTTGGTTTTCCTCTGCTTAAACAGCAGCTCACACACAAAACAAAAACATTGCTAGAAAGTGTTTTTAAAATTCGTCTCGAGGCGAACGAGAACCAAAGGAAATGTCGGAAACGCATTTTCTCTTAACTTAAATTCGTTTGGCAAATGGGTTGCCACAGTAAAACCACCTCTGCAGTTTATTTAAGTGGTCTGACGCTGGGGAATAATTGATGTTACTGTTTCATTAGACCCAGCGCTACCTATTTTCTCCCTCCCACTCACTCCGCTCCCAAACCACAAGAGACGCTCGTGCTCGAAAAGGCTGGAAACCTTCACGTGAAATCCAGCGGATACTACAGCGCTCGCATCTCTGCTTCGTTTTCACTTCTTCCTTGTAAAAAATACAAGGAGAAGACAAAACTACGAGCACAGCTTCCGACATCTCCTCTGTGACAGGACAAACGCTCCGGCCGAAACGCGTTACGGTTTCAAGCAAGCCTTTCGACAGCGATAAAGAATTGAAATACCGAGCAGGGAAAGCACCGAGCGGACAGATTGGTTGAACCGACATGACTCAAACTTTACTCGTTATCAATATTCAAGAAACCACCAGCCCTGACACCACAGAGGGCTGTGCGAGCACTGCTGGCGCGCTCCTTCCCTCCCGGTCCCTGCCTGCAGAAACCGCATCCCGCAGCCGCCGTCTGC